AGTTGTGACGATAATCTCCTTCAAGAGACTGAGCCTGCTCTTCCCTCCAAAAGACGTCGATATAAACATCTATATAAAACAAGTATAGAAGAAAAATCCAACAACGACAACACCAGCAAGGTTTGCCAGAGCGCAAAACGTATGCAGCCAGGAACACCTGCTCCACCTCAAACCGCCAAACTACCTGTCTTGTTGCCGGCTCATCGCTGATTGGCTACGGGTCTAGCTGCAACTGCACTCCACCCACCATACTACTTGATGTCTGGGGCCGCCACGACCTCAGTCTTCAGAATATTCCGTGCTTTCGACAGGTTAACACGTCTCGTTGGTAGACTAAAGCCCCAGGCTTACGTGTACTAAGAGAAGTGATAGCTTGAAGCCAATATTCCGGCACCTATTTCCATTGTTTGCCATACTCTTGTTATTTGTTCATTTGTCTTAACGTAACTTTTCATTTTACCATTTAATTATTCTTATTATTTTGATTGCTTTTATTATACGAATTTGTGTGTCCATTTTATTTATGTTTTGCTTTCTTTAACATAATTAAAATTTCATTTTTAAAATTTACTTGTTTTTTGTGTGTCTTCTCCTTACCTTACCACAGACGAAGTTCCAGATTTTCTATTTTTTTTTCTATATGTGACGAGGCCATACCCCTAGCTTTTGAACAGCCGAACACCAACGCGTTACTGTCACAGCGTACAATCGGCGCGGCAGTAAAGTGAGATGTTTGCTTGTTTCCTTGGGATTGTAGGGAGTTTCTACCTCTTTGTTCATTTTTTTGTTTTAGTTTCTTACCATGTGGGATTTGTTTTGTTATGCCTACCTTTCTGGGTGCCTATCCCCGGTCAATGGCAGATAAGGAAAAAACCCCAACCACAATTTGGATTTCCAGGGCCATTGCTCCCTGAAACCTCTCTGAAGGGGCTAGGTTCTGGTGCTGGTCCCTGGTAGGTCTGAACTCCATAGCTAATGTCCCGGTCTAATATAACATACATTAGCCCGATAAGCTCCAGGGAACTGTAGAAGCTTCCCACAGAAAACAGAGACACCGCCTCCTTCAGGATAGGCGCAAAGAGCTACAACAATGCAGCCACCGCACTAGCTGCCGAAGTCAGCCCCCCAGACCAAGGCCCAGCACTCAACGCTTCCACATCCTCCTCAAGCCAGGCAGAAGACAGCTTCCAGGCAGAAGACAGGAAGGGAAAAGAAACGTAAGAACGCAGCCGAATGTCCACGGGCGTGCAAATCCTCAGCAACCAACGATGCAGAAAGAAGAGGAACCTACACGTGAAGCTGGAAAAGGCCAACATCCCAAGAAAGCACGGGGGCAAACAAGCACTCATTAAGGTGCTCAAACTCGCCCCCCAGGTAAACCTGCAGATCTATAGAAGTTTCACGCCAATCAAGCGTGCGGGCCCGACAGAACCCATGCCAGGCGCCCAACAAAAAGAATGTTCAGTCTGCCAGCCAGGAAGAATCCGGAACCTCGAAATGCACCCAAAAGCGGGAAAAAGAACCAAACTCAAAAGAGGACAGGTACATCACAGAGGCATAAACCGGGTCTCACAAGAGATATGTAGCAAGAGTCTCCCGAGTTTCCTTCGCGGAGATATGAGAAGTAGAAAACCTAAAGAAAGATAGAGCCGAGGTACCCAAAGGGGCCCGGAACCAATCCCCGGGAGAAGTCGAACACCAATCATACTCATACAGGGAAGGGGGGTAAGAAAACCCCTCCCCCAGCAACAATAAGCCCTGTGAGGAAGGCAAAAGCACTCAAGCGGGGTCAAAGGGGGCCCAAGGCCCCCAGGTCAACTTCTCCCCAGCCCCGAGATCCCCCAAGTCGGGACCCGGAGCAGAGCTGTCTTTCAAACCCTCTATCCCTAAAGAAAAGGCAGAGTCCAGGGGAAAGGCAGACAAGAAGAGGGCAGGAGGAACCGGCTCAAATACCTCCATCTCCAACCTGAATGGGACAGCTCCCGAAGCCGGCTGAGTCTCATTACCAACTAAATGCCGAGCCAAATCTGAAACCCTCAGACGTTTCGGAGCTGGACATGGGGAAGGGAGGGGTAGGTGCAGGATGAACAACAGGGGAAGGACCAGGGAGCGCGGAAGGAGCCAAAGTCGAAGCAACTAATGCCCCCAGGTCTGAGTCCCGAAAACCAAAGTGGGGCAGCCTCGGGGCATCCGGGTGGGAAACCAACCTAGCGTGTTGTAGTAACCTAAACCTAACATGCAACGCGGATGCTGCCTGTACCCTAAGAGCAACATCATCAGAGTAAAACTGGAGTACAAGCAGAGAACACATCTCGCAAGACTCCGGGTCAAAGGTGTCATTGACCCAACAGGCGGCATGACGGAGGCAAAACAGGCGACGGTCACCCTGAGACAAGGGCACACAACAACCTTCAAACCCGCACAAGGCAGGCTGGAACTCGGGAGATGCATCCATGGGTCCACCGAGCCCCGACAGGGTTTTCCAGGGCCCGTAGGGTAACAACTGCGGGAAGCCTGGGCAAGGTGTTGCTAACCGGTTGAACACCCAAACTAACAACAGGTAGATGACAACACTGAAACCCTAGTGACGTGTACAAGCACGGGGGCCTAGCAGAGTGCCACCAAAACAGTATCAGCAGAACTATAGTCCCACAAGGCAGACCCCCTCCAGGCAAACAAAAAACAAAAAAGAAAAACCCAGCCAAAGTACACCCCGTCCCCAGAGGCAACAGGAACTCTTCGCCGCATAGATAGCAGGTTGTGCAACACCTTGATGTCCTAATCAGCACACCACCACTCCCAACCCAAGGCCAAACAAGGGGCCCCAAGCCCCAGCTGGCCCCAAGAGCGAGGCAAATGCCAAGCAGCAAGAACCCCCCTACGGAAGTGGTTCCCGAACTCCCCAGGGAAGATAACTCTGACACGCAGGGGCAGTACTCACAGGGGTGCTTAGGGAAGGAAGCCCTCTAAGCGCATGCAGCCCCGGCACTGATGAAGTACTCCTGGCCACCACACACCACGACAAGACAGCAGAGAACGCCACACAGGCAAACACCGCTGAGGAATTTGAGACCAAAGAAGCGTCTGTCCCGGTTGGAGTGCTAGGCAGCCGGCACATTGAGGTCCGAGGGCCCCCTCCCCCTCTTGGGGAGAGGAGGGCTGTGCGGACGAGCGGGGCAGCAGTAAAGTGTAATGTTTGCTTGTTTCCTTTGGATTGTATGGAGTTTCTACCTCTCTGAACAGTTTTTTGTTTTAGTTTCTTACCATGTGGGGTTTGTTTTGTTATGTCTACCTTTCTAGGTGCCTAACCCCAGTTAATGGCAGATAAGGAAAAACTCCAACCACAGGGGGCATTTTCCAGGGCCATTGCTCCCTGAAACTTCTCTGAAGGGGCCAGGTTCTGGAGCTGGTCCCTGGTAGGTCTGAACTCCATAGCTAATGTCCCAGTCTAATATAAAGTATATTAGCCCGATAAGCTCCAGGGAGCAGTAGGGACTCCCCCCCCCCAAAAAAAAAAAATTTGTAAAGGATTTTTTTTTTTTAGGTTTTCAGTTTTTTTCCTCCTTTGTTTATTATTTGAATTTGTTGTAATTTGAATTTGTTACATCCTGGAGAGAATGTAAAAGTTACATCCTGGAAAGTATGTAAAGGTTACATCCTGTAACCTTTACATACCTGTCCCTACTTATGGGAAGACAGAAATAAATTGCTCAACAAATAAATCAGTTACAACTCTCAGAACTTGAGACTGAATTTTTTTGGCAGAGTTTGTCACAGATTTCAAACCCTATTTTTCTTATTTTTTTAGGTTGTTTTGATGATTAGGGCTTTTTTACTTATATAAAGAATACCCTAAATATATCTCCTAAATTATTATAATTATTCCTATATTTTGTTTTTGGGGGTTGTTTTTTCTTGACTTCATTTCAACACATATTGACCTACAACTTTCATATATTCGAGTACGAATGCTAAACAATGTTTATTAAAACATACAAGTAAATTTATGAATTAGAACTGCCATATTCATTGTCGATAACTTGAACTTCAATTACAGTATATCTATAACTAGAATTTCAACTTACTTGAACAAATCCACAAGGGCCGTGACGAGGATTCGAACCTGCGTCCGGGAGCATCCCATGTCGTAGCTCAGTCGATTAAGGCAGTGTCTGGGATGCTCCTGGACGCAGGTTCGAATCCTCGTCACGGCCCTTGTGGATTTGTTCATTTGATGCATCACGTTAGTGTGATCTCTGTGTGTTCAACTTACTTCAGTATCCAAAAATCTAGTTTCTGACCGATTCTCACCATTTTTACATATACTGTAGTGTGCACAGCTGTCTGTTCTACAATCCCTATAGCATTAATTTTTCATAAACTCTAAACGTTTGGAGTCATACATTTTTGTTGTCTAAATTTGTGCATATTTAAAATGCCATATTGACAAACTTTGTTTACAGTAAACTATACTGAAAACCTATATTCTAAATATATGAAAATGAAGATCATATGCTATTCTGAGAGCATAATAACACCAAATGAACAATTGGTGATATTTTATATTTTTGTAGATGATTTAAAAATCTGAAGTTTTCAATATTCAATTTTATAATTATTTTATATTTTCTTGTTTTTCAAGTTACACTGGTATTATTTAGACAAAGTTGGAGCTTTTGCCAAGTAGACTATGCACAAAACATTTGAAAGAGTTTCAGAAAATTTAAAAAACTAAGCTCAATGTCACACTTCATATGAAGTTTTGCACAGTTTAGGGGTTAAGCAAGAACCATTATAAACTTAGCATATGAACAGTTTTCACATACAAAATAAACAAACTGCTTATTATTTTATGTAATGCAGTTCCCAATAGGAAATACTGTACGTAAAAGGTTAGATTTAATGAAGGTGTCTATAATCAGAAATGGTGTATGAATGAATATTCTATTAACCAGAATTAGTGAAAATACATGAAACAGTATATGCAAAACATTACTTACTTGGTCTCCTCCTGTTTTCTTCTCTCTTCCTCCTCTTTCTTCTGCTCTTCCTCCTCGATTTTTCTTCTTTCTTCCTCTTCCCTCTCCCTCTCCTCCTCTTCTCTCCTAATAAATCATGAGTGTTTTTACAACATGTGATTACTTGATGCAGAAGCTATGAGTTATAATACGAACTAAGACTCAATTTTTTTTTATTTTGTGATAGATATGGCATTTATGAGAGTTTGATATGAAGACTCGTTAAGTTCTGTGGAAATATTGTCAATTTGATTACTTCCCAAATAAGAATTTTCATACTCATAAATTATCCAATTTGATAAAGCCCTAACAGTTAAAATGTTATCTCCAAATAAAGTCTACTCTCTACTTGGTGTTTATATTAAAGAAAATGTCATTATTCTGTAAAAGTAAATTATAATAAATTATATACCCCACACAACCTATAAATTATGTGAGAAATCTTTAAAGAATTCTGACAAAGAAAGGGATCTAGGGGTGGTTCTAGATAGAAAACTGTCACCTGAGGACCACATTTATTTATTTATTTATATATATACAAGAAGGTACATTGAGATTGTGAGGATACATAGCATAGTAATTACATTCTTGTAAAGCCACTAGTACGCGCAGCGTTTCGGGCAGGTCCTTAATCTAAGAAACTTATAAGTAGGCAAATACTTGCAAAATTTATAAAAATTATAACAGTTACATAGCATGAAAAAAATAAAAGATGAGAGAAAAATTGTAGGTATAATAAAGCACATAGGTAGCTGAGAATGATTGCAATGACAGCTTGAATGGTACTTTAACAAAACTTAGCAGGCACAATACAGCATATGGCTAGCACATAAAAGAAGACAGCAATGAACACAATGATAAAGTTGTTTGGATTAAGTACATAAAGATTGGGAGATTGGGTAACACTAGATACAGAGCAAATTTAAAGCTCAGTGTAGGAAACTACGAAGATGAAATTACAGTAGGTACTTTTTGTTTTTGTTTTTAAATGAGGCAAAAGTTTGACAGCTTTTCAATTCACTAGGGAGTGAGTTCCATAGACTGGGTCCCTTTATTTGCATAGAGTGTTTACACAGATTAAATTTGACCCTGGGGATATCAAAGAGATATTTATTTCTGGTGTGGTGATAATGGGTCCTATTACATCTGTCCAGGGAGAGTTTCAGAGCAAGGTTTGTATTTAAGAACAGGGTTTTGTAAATGTAGTTGACACAAGAGAATGTGTGGAGGGAGTTAATATTTAGCAAGTTAAGGGATTTAAACAAGGGAGCCGAGTGTTGTCTGAAAGCAGAGTTTGTTATTATTCTTATTACATTAAGAACATTGTGCGAGGAGCTTATGCTACACTTTCTAACCTCAGAATTGCTTTTAAATACATGGATGGAGAAATACTAAAGAAATTGTTCATGACTTTTATTAGACCAAAGCTGGAATATGCAGCGGTTGTATGGTGCCCATATCTTAAGAAGCACATTAACAAACTGGAAAAGGTGCAACGACATGCCACTAAGTGACTCCCAGAACTGAAGGACAAGAGCTACGAGGAGAGGTTAGAGGCATTAAATATGCAAAAACTAGAAGATAAAAGAAAAAGAGGCGATATGATCACTACATTCAAAATAGTAACAGGAATCGATAAAATTGATAGGGAAGAATTCCTGAGACCCGGAACTTCAAAAACAAGAGGTCATAGATTTAAACTAACGAAACAAAGCTGCCGGAGAAATCTATGAAAATTCACTTTTGTAAACAGAGTGGTAGACGGTTGGAACAAGTTAAGTGAGAAGGTGGTGGAGGCTAAAACCGTCAGTAATTTCAAAGCATTATATGACAAAGAGTGCTGGGGAGACGAGACACCACGAGCGTACTCTCATCCTGTAACTACACTTAGGTAATTACAATAAACTCAGCACAGCACGGTGGTTAAAAAAAAAAAACAGCATTGAATGTAATGAAACGCTATTTTCTGGGTGAGCCCCGGAGGCTCCCTGGAGCTTATCGGGCTAATGTACTTTATATTAGACCGAGACATGAGCTATGGAGTTCAGACCTACCAGGGACCAGCGCCAGAACCTGGCCCCTTCAGAGAGGTTTCAGGGAGCAATGGCCCTGGAAAACCCCTTGTGGTTGGGGTTTTCCTTATCTGCCATCGACCGGGGTTAGGCACCCAGAAAGGTAGGCATAACAAAACAAACCCCACATGGTAAAAACTAAAACAAAAACCGAACATAGAGGTAGAAACTCCCTACAATCACAAGGAAACAAGCAAACAAGCAAACATCACACTTTACTGCCGCGCCAATCGTCCGCGCAGCCCTCCCCGCCCCGGGAGGGGGAGGGGGAAGCCCCGGACCTACCGCGCCGGCTGCCAAGCTCCAGTTCGGAAGCTAAGCTTCAACCAACGCGAAAAAACTGCCGACCGGTGGGAGGGAGGGTTGCCAGGGAGCCTCCGGGGCTCACCCAGAAAATGGCGTTTCATTACATTCAACGCTGGTTTTCTGTGGGGAGCCCCTACGGCTCCCTGGAGCTTCATACCCAAAGAGAAGGAAAAGAAAGGGCTAACCCGGGAGGCGGCCGCCACAAACTCTGCAACGCAAAGCCAAGACAACCAGTCGCAAACCTGCGACCCAAGGCAACAAGAACGCCCAAGAGCAGACGCGCATAAGGATGGGCGGCCAAGAACCTGTGCGACCCACAAATCCCTGCGCCCGAAATGAGCCCGAGACGTCACCAACACAGCAGCAAAAGCTGCAAACGTCTGAACAGCACGGGCGCAAAGACAGACCACAGGCTGGAAGAATGAAAACACTGCGGACGACATGGGAGACCCGAGCCCTGAAAACGGGAAACGAAGAAACCGGATCAACCACAGCGCATCCCCAGACACAGTACGCCGGCAACAGCAAAAAGCACAACTGGACAACACAGGACACACACCCCGGCCAAACCAATCAAGTACCAATACCCCAAGAACCCCTCCGGAAAGCAGCCGTCTCGACCGGCGCCAGTACAGAGAAAGGCTGCACACCTATAAAGCTACCACCAGTACCAAAGAACAGGAAACTGAACCGAAGGGGCTCCCACAAACTGAGGGGAAGAAAGAAGGCACCCTGAACAAGGACCAGGATGGCTCAGGCGACGCATGAGCAGGTCGGAGGGGAAACAAAACACGAGAAAACGTATGAAACGTCATACTGTCGCCAAGACGAAGCTCGCAGGTGGGACACAGTCAACAAAGCCACCTGAACACCATAGAGATGGTGATACCCGCGTCAAAATACCAGATGCGAAGAGCCAAGGAGAAGGCCGAACCAGTCACGGACAGGACCGATTCGGCCTGCTGAAAGAGGCGGAGCCTCAGGAAAAATGCCCCGGGTATGGACCCCTATCAAGCAGCGTCTAAAAAGAAGGCCGGGCCGGCCACCATGGAACCATAAGGACTGTTCTCGTGGGAATGGGCTGCAACCGAGCCAGAATCCGAAGCAACAACTGGACCGGGAGAAGAGGAACAGGTACTCCCCACCTCGACCAGTCCTGCCGAAAGCATCCACCGTGAAGTCCTCGCAGCTGGGAAAGGGCGCCACAAAATGGGCGACGCCTAGACCACGCTGACCCGAAGACGTCCATGGCCAGGAGTCCATATGCCCGACAGAGCCAACAAAACGAATTGGCGACGACTGGCCAACCCACGAAGAGGAACGAACCGAGACAGATGTCCGCCAGGACGCAGAACACACCCCGGACACGAACCTCACGGTTAGCCAAACCCCTGTGGTTCTGGCAAGAACCACCAGAGAACAGTCCGAACAGAGCTGAATGGTAGAGTACCTAGTGCCCCAAACCCTCCGAAGCGCAAACCAGACAGCCATGAACACCTGAACCGTGCAGTGAGCCCGACGGACAGACAGACTCCATCAACCACGGCCGACCTGGTGAGCACTGGTCACAAAGCCCCAGCCGAGAGACGACCCGTCCGTGAACACATCGAGCGAAGGCTCGGGGAGGTGCCAAGGCACGGAACCCCGAAAACCCCAAGAGGAAGCTGGTGACGCAGTACCAACACAAGATCCTGGAGGACCCCAATGAATGCAAGAGGCGGAAGGGGAGTCTCCGCAGGAACCAACAGACGCCGTAGCCAAACCCGACTCCGCAGGCAGACAAGCACGCCGAAGTGCAGACCCCCACACAACCGCTCAAGCAACCGCTGAGCAACCCGGGACCTCCTCCTGAACAGCCGAAGGCGGGACCACAGCCGCAGTAACACTTCTGGAGGGAAGACAATGAAGGGCCCAAGAGCCTTAAACAAGGCCCAGGTCCGAACCCGGGACGGAAACAGATGGAAAAACCTCCAGATCATCAGGAAACCAAAACCAGCGATCTGGAAAGAACCATCCCCTGGCGAGCAGACAAGCGGACTGACTGGGACCCCATACCAGCCAGTCGTCGAGGTAGGCCAGACACCGAATCTCAGACTCGGACAGGGCACTAAGATCCGGTAAAGATGCAAAAAGTATACGAAGTGCCCATTACAAAATAGGGAAGGCAACAAAAGCAGCAAGCCTGAAGGCCCACCACCAACCGTGCTAGTCCCAGAAAAACTGGAGAGGAACGTGCCAAGAAGTGACCTGGAGGACCAGGGCCACCATCCAGGCACCCTGCCCCAACAGAATCCGAACAGGAGACAACAGTCCTCCGAGGAAGGCATAGGATCTAGGGCGCAGACCGAAGAAGTCCAGAAGAACTGCAGACGGGAAAAGCTCATGACTGCAAAGAGCAGACGCGAACCCCAGAAGGATGGGGCGGATCGACCACGCCCCACGCACTCACGAAGAGGAAATGACAAAAGCGCAGGGGAAGAAGCCCACCCCGCCAGCTCTGAACCCCCGAAGGGGGAGAAGCCGTCCTCCGACGCCAGCAGAGGCCGGAAGACAACACAAAGCGCCCACCAACAGCGGGACCATGCGAGAGGCAACAGAGCAAGCTGCTCCCCCAGCGCCCAATCAACAGAGAAGGGAACAGAACCCCTTCCGAAAGAAAAAGTACACTACCCAAGTCAAGAGGAGAGACTACGGAAATTAAACCACACT